GTGCAGAGTGGGGAACACCGGCCGCAGGAAGGGGGAGACGGGGAGGGAGAAGATCGCTAAGGCAATGGGACGAGGCAGGAGCCTCACAGGTTGGCCAGTGGGGACCCCAGGGAAATGCTCACCTCGATCTGCTCCCCCTCGAACTGGAGGAGGTGATGGGTTGCATGCTGAACACACCAGCAGCAGCATGCCATGGAGGTGGACGACACCCCCGAGCTGGTCCGAGGACCGAGAGTGGAGCTGCCACTGGCCCTGGGCCCTGCATCGGCGGCCATGCAGCGGGGTGGGGAGACGTGCCTGTGGGCGCCGTGGCTGTGACCTCACTCAGGACGTGTGGGGACGCATACAGGGGGCAGCAGGGCAAGCGGCAGCCAGTCTTCTGGTTCCCAGGGAACAGAAGACACCTGAGGCTGTGAATGGACAAGGGGAGGCCAGCCTGTTGAAGGGCAGGCATTCATGGCAGCGGCCGGCGAGATTCGGGGTGGATCTAGACTCTGGGAGTGGCCCGGGCTGGAGGTTGGGCAGAAGATGCCCACCTGGTCCGGGACACTGCGGTCTGTAAGCACTTAGCTCCCTGACCCACCAGGCCCCGTGCCAGCTGGCGCTAGGGGACCAATGAGAAGGAATCCTTGGCAATTTTGAGTCCCATCTGCTTCGTGTGAGGGAGGGTTGAGCTGGGTCGGTGCCTGGCCTTTGCCCTCCTGGTGAAAGTCTGATTCTTCAGGACAAAGACACAGTTGGTGGTAGGGTTCTTGGTGCAGAACAGGTTGGCGTTGTCAGGGGTCTCCAGCTCTGGTGGGGGACGGGCCGAAGAAGGGACAGAGGAAGGATCAACTGTGCTCAGGTGGTGGCTGCAGGCCTGGGAGAGGGGAATGCATAGAAACAGAAAGGAGATTAGTGGTGGCCAAGGGGTGAGGGATGTGGGCACTGGGACCCCTTCCTGGTGCCAGTGTTCCCCACTCTGCACCCCCAGCTCCTGAGCAGAGCTTCTAGAATCCCCCAGAGCTGGGAGTGGGCCTGGGGAGACAGGCAGAGTCCGGGTGTCTGCATCACTGGATACAGGATTTGTCTTCAGAAACATTCTAGAAATAGACAGTGGTGATGGGTGCACAGCATATTGAATTTACTTAATGCCACTGAATTTAAAATGAGTAAAAGGTAAGTTTTCACTGTGTCCTTTTTAAAGCATAAAATCTAGTAAGCTGTAAAGGATAGGAAGAAGATTTAGAAATCAGGGTGTCATCACAAGGGAGGGAAGGACAGCTCGAGCAGCACCGGCTCTGCTGTGCTCAGGAACAGGTGTGGGGGGTGCCGGGTGGGCTCCCCAGGGGAGGGGGCGCCACAGCTGAGCTGGAGATGCACCTGGCCCGGGGCTCGGCAACTAGCCCAGGACGGGGTTCCAGAGCTGGAGCTGGGTCCGTCGCCGGCAGTCATGCGAAGGCTGGTTCTAGAATTGCTCTGTTCTGTGGCTGGCCCTGGATTGTGGTGGTGGTACCAGAACTGGGGAGAGAACAGTGATGGGTGTGCTTCCGGTCTGGATCTAGAACCAGAGCAGGCTAAGTCTCTAGCGGTCCGAGTGCTGAGGCCGGACGGAGCTCTAAATCTGGAGCTGGTCCTAGCTCTAGGCTCCCCCTCCCTCCCCGGGCCAGATCTTGTGCTAGAGGTGGGGGCAGCTCTGTAGCCGCCCCCCCTTCCTGGCTGTGGGGTAGACATTGTCCCACCTGGTCAGCTGTGAGCTCTGAGGGTCAGGGGAGTATCTGTCTGCACACTGAAGGGAGCAGTACACAGGCGCTGGATACATACATGAATGAATGAATGAATGAATGAATGAATGAACGAACGAGTCGGTCAGCTAACCCAAGAGGCCATTGTATCTCTGGTTTTTCACATCTGTAACATAACAGTAGTCACATCCTAGGGCCGTTGGGAGGATGACCCTGAGTCAGTATGCGGGCAAGTGCCTACTGCGTGCTAGACACTCTTCCGGAGCCTTGGGAATAAAGCAGCTTGGGTGCAGCTGACGGAGGCAGGGCTGAAATGAGCGCGCGCGGGGCCCGGGCTCAGCTGGGCGCTGCAACCACGGTTAGCAGGCTGCCCGGGTCTCCTTGTCCAGCAGCTCAGGACGAGCCTGGGTGGGGCTGGAGGGGCCGTGGGCTTGCTATCTTGGCAAACCATCAGAAACAAGCTTCACTCTTCACGTCTTCTTCCTCATCTTGGCCCCCCCCCCTTCGGCATGGCGTTGCATCTCGTGGATAGGGGTCATTCATTTCACCGGACGCTAATGAAGGGAGCTGGGTGGTTTGCAATCTCTGCTCACATGAAGAAGGCCGTGGTGCACAGTCGCGGAGGAAGGTCAGCTGTAGAAGTGTTTCCGTGGGATGGATTCCCCGAGCTGAGGCTGCTGAATCAAAGGGGAAATACATTTGTAATTTTGCTACATGCGGCCAGACCGCCTCCACGGGAGGGCAGCTTGGGTTCCCATCAACAATGAGTAAAAAGTTCCTCCTTCTACACAGCTTCCGAGTATCCTTGTAATCTTTTGGATTTAGTCATTTGGTCATGACTGAGACTGAGCATACGTCACGTGTGTAAGGCTATTTACATTTCTTTCTCGTGAACTGTATTTTAATGTCTTTTGCCTGTTTTATATTGTGTGGCTGCTCTTTTTCTTTTTTTTTTTTTAAGATTTTATTTATTTGAGACAGAGTGACAGAGAGCACAAGCAGGGAGGAGAGGGAGAAGCAGACTCCTCGCCGAGCAGGGAGCCCGATGCGGGGCTCGATCCCAGGACCCCGGGATCATGACCTGAGCCGAAGCAGACGCGTAATGACTGAGCCACCCAGGCGCTCCATGCTCTTTTTCTTATAAGTTTCTAGGATCTCTTTATTTACAGGGGGTTGTTAGGCTCTTGCCCAAGATAGGAGTTGTGGACATTTGTCCCAGCTTATCATTCCTTCCTTTTTTAAGTTATGGAGTCTTTTCCCCTTGCACAATATTCAGTTCTCCCCAGTTTGATTTTTTGGATTCAATGTAATCCCCATAAAATGCCTCAGCAGGCATCTCTTTGTGGAAAGCAATGAGCCTAGACAAGCACTACTCTTTTGGTCTCTGTAGTTTGCCTATTCTCGACCATTTGTACGTCTGGAGTCCTACAATAATATGTGGTCCTTTGTGACTGACAGTCCATGTAGCTTAATGTTTTCAAGGTTCATCCATGTTTGTAGTATTTATCAGTAAATCATTCCTTTTTATGGCAGAACAGTTTTCTGTTGCATAAATATACCATATTTGGTCCACTTGTTCATCAGTGGGTGGATTTTGGGGACGTTTCCACCTTTTGGTTATCATGAATGATGATGCTATGACCATTAATGTACATAGATTTTCATGTTTTTGGTTCTCCTGGGTGCATACCTTGGAGTGCACTTGCTGGATTCGTGGTAACTCTATGTTTTCCTTTTTGGAGAACTACCTGTTTTCCAAAGGACTGCTATTTTATATTTCAATTGGCAATTTCTCCATATCCTCACCAAAACTTCATTATCTGTCTTTTTAATAATAGATGTCCTTTTGAATGTAAAGAGGTATCTGATTGTGGTTTTGATTTGCATTTCCTGATGAATAAGTATGCTTAGCAGTTTTCATGTGTATACCTTCTTTTTATGGCCATTTGTATATCTTGTTTTAAGGACATTTGAGAGAGAGAGAGAGTGTGGGGGAGGGACAAAGGGAAAGGAGGGAGAGAATTTCAAGCAGACCCCCCGCTGAGCACGGAGCCTGCCGTGGGGCTTGAACTCACCACCCCGAGATCAGACCTGAGCTGAAGCCAAGAGTCAGACATTTTAACCGACTGCACCACCCAGACACCCCTGTATATTGCCTTAGGGGAATTTGTCATATTCAGACCCTTCCCCCACTTTTTAAGTGGAATGTTTATATTACTATATCATGGAGGTGTCAGAGTTGTTTAATCTACATAAGTCCCTTATTGGAAATATTATTTGCAAATATTTTATCCCATTTGGTGTGTTGTCTTTCTCTTTATTGGTACTATGTTTTGATGCAAAAAATGTTAAATTTTATGAAGCCAGTTTATATTTTCTTTTATACTTGTGCTTTCGGTGTCCGCCCTTGAGGACTGATGTTCTCTGCTCAGTGGACTCCAAGTCTGGGCAGACACATGGCTGGCTGTGGCCTCACCCGGCAGCCTCGGACCAAGCCGGCTCCACCTGACCCTGCCTTGAGGGCTCCCCGCTTCCCTTGCACTGACCGGAGGCCCATGTAGAAGCTGAGAGTATTGGGTACATGGGATGGGGGCTAGTGCAGGGGCCACTCTTGGTAGAGCCTCAGATGTGGTTCGAGCACTTTCTCCCTCTCTAAAGCCCCAAGCCGGATCCTCTGCCTTTTCAGCAGTTTTCCTGAGCCCCCTCTGTATACCTGGAAAAGCCTCCTGTGTTCACACAAGCTCAGGTGGGTCCTGCTGTTGCAACGGGGAACTTCCCCCGGATGGAGCATGTCCACGGCGGTCCCTGTGCCTGGCTGAGCGGCCCTAGATATGCTGGGTTCACTGCGAGGAAGGAGCTCTGTGCCTGGAGGGAGCAGGAGGGGCCAGGCTACAGCCCTGCAGTGAACAGCCTACAGACACTGTGTGAGTCGTCTTCTAAATAGAGCTTTGAAAAATTGCGCAAGAATCTCTTTTGGATAAATTCCTAGAATCAGCACTGCTAGGCAAATGTATGCACTGATGGGACTTTGGCGGGTTAACCCTTTCTCTGGCATTGGCTTCTGAGGAATGCGCGAGGCCGCGTGCCTAGGACCCCTGGCCGAGCGCACAACCACTCCCCAGCACCCTTGGCGGTGAGACCGCGGAGTCGGGCGCTTGCGCCCAACCACTCGCTACGCCAGGCTTTCGGGCTCGCGGGGGGATGTGGGCGTGTCCCCTGGCCCGAGGTGCCGCCAGCCAATCAGGGACGCCTCCCGCCGGCCCCGCCCACCGCGCGCGCTGAGGCCTCTCGGAACCGCTGGCTCGCCGGGGTGGTCGAGCTGCGGTCGCCGAGCTGCTCCGAGCATGGAGCGGATCCCGGCTGTGGGCCTGGGCACCTGGCAGGTGAGGTGGACCTCGCGCCCCGGGGCGGGCGGAGCCTTTCCTCAGCAGCGGAGGGCACCCGCGGGGCCGCCTGCCGCCCTCCCTCCCCAACCCCCGGCGCCGCCGCCCCTGCCGCCTCCCGAGCATTAGCCAGTAAATGGCGAAAGGCGGGAGCAGACGGTGGTCAGGCCGGTGTCGGGGCGGGAGGACCGGCGGCCACCTGCCCGCGGGCGCCCTGGGCCGGGGGACCTGCATCCCGAAGACTAGTGCGGTTTGGGACAGAACGTACTTCCCTGTGCGAGCCGGGGGCGGAGCACTGGGCGCCCTCGTGTCCTCGGACTTTGTCACCGCTGTCCGGGACGTGGGACCCAGCGCTCACCGCGAGCCCTCCGCACCTGCTTGCACTGTTTGCTTAGACGTCGTGTTTAATAAAAGAAGCGATCGGATGAGTAGGCATTAGCATCATCAACCCCTGCTCAACCAAGTATTATTCAAATGATTTCTTCTAAATACTTTACAACTCTTAAAGAGCAAGGATGTAACTTTATTCGTGGTGGCTCACAGCATCTAGCAGCTCAGTAAGCGCTAAGCCAGGTTAAATGCTTTGACTTCCCTGCCCGCCTTCTCTGGCTGTCTTCTGCACCTGGCTCAATGTGGGAGCCCTGTTTTGCACACAGTGCAAGGAAAACCTACAAACACTGCTTCAGAGGCCAAAACATTCCTTTCTGTTATTGTTGGACTTCAGGTGCACAGACTTGGATCAGTCTTAGCCACCTCTTCCTGATCATGCAGAGTGTTGTTTTTATGTGGTAGTTTTCAGTAGTGTTAAGGTCAGAGAGCTACTACCATCCGCTGTCTAATGCCCCAGAAGTGCCGCATCAACAACCAAGCACGAAAACTCACTGTTTTGTGGCTTATTACTGCTGCATGCAGGTGGTCAGCTGGGCAGCTCTGGGGATCTTGGCGCAGCTCACTGCCATGTCTGGGGTTTGGCTGGTCTCGGTTGGGACGTTTGGGGCTGCTCCACCTGGCTCCACCTAACTCTCAGCCTCTAGCAGGCTAATCTGGGATATTCTCCTGGTGATGGCTGAAGCACAAGGGAGCCAGAGAAATGCACAAGGCATCCTGAAGCCTAGGCTTGGAACCAGCATCTCCTCTGCATTCTGTTGGGCGCAGTAAAAACAGGGACAGCCCAGGTTCAAGAGCTGGGGGAATATAGCTCATTCTGAGTCTGGGGAATCACATTTAATCCATAGATCAATCTGGAGAGAACTCACAACTTTATGGTATTAAATCTGGCTTTCTACAAACATAGTATATTTCTCTGTTAATAAATTGTCCTAGATAGATGGCATCCTCCCACTGTCTCTTCATCTGGTTGTATATTCAGCTTTCCCTTCATTTGTTGGAATTATTCCTCGATACTGGACAGTCTGTGATACTATTGGAAATGAAACTTCTCTGAAATTATGTCTTCAGCTCATTCGTTGTTGATGCATAGAAAAACAATCTTCTCCGGCGTCTGGCTGGGTCAGTCGGTAGAGGGTGGGACTCTTGATCTCAGGGTCAGAAGTTCAAGCCCCATGTTGGGTGTGGAGCCTAGTTAAAAGAAAAAAACAATCTTCTTTGGTATATTCAACACATTTCCAGCCACGTTGCTAAAATGTCCTATTCTCTTCATTTGCCTATAGATTCATTTGGGTTTTCTACATAAATGATCATACCAGCTTCAAATAATGCTACTTTCGTTTCCTTTTTTCTGATCCTTAAGTCTCAAATTGCCTTTTCTGAGCTGCTTGTGATGGCTAGGGCCTCCATTACCATGGACATTCGTGTTTTGTTCCCGATCTTAAAGGGAATGTTTCTGATACTTACACATTTAGCATGATGTCTGCTCCTAGGTTTTTTGGGTTGTGTTTGTTCTTGATATTTTTGTTATCATTGTTGTTTTAAATGTGGGTATTCCTTACCAGGTTAAAGAGTTCCCGTTTGCCCTAGTTCACTGAGACTTTAAGTCAGGAATGGGTGTTGAATCTTATGCAACATTGATTGACATGATTTATTTTTTAGTCTATTAATGTAAATTATGATGGATTTCCTATCAAGCCATCCTTGGCTTTCTCAGATAAACTCAGGGTGGGTGTGGTATGTTCTTTTTCCATAATATGTTGTTGCATCCAATTTGCTGTTATTTTACTTAGGGTTTTTGCAACTGTTATTCATGAGTGAGATGAGTGTGTGACTGTCCTTTTAATATTTTTGTCTGCTTTTGATTCCAGGGATATGCTGGTTGAGTGGGATGAATTGGGAGTATTCTTTGTTTTTCCCTTCTCTGAAAGATTCTGTGTTAAATTGGGATGATTTCGTCCTTGAAAATTTTGTAGAACTGTGTGTGTGTTTAACTAATTGCTTCATTTAAAAAATAATTATAGGACAAGTCAGCTTTTACTTCTTCTCAAGTAAGTTTTTCTAGGGATTTTTCCTATTCTTTTCATCTTTCCAAATTGTCAGCTTATAGCTACTGATAATATTTTCTGAGATTTTGGGTCTCTGTTTAATCTGTATGACTGTTTTTCATTCAGGTAATTAAAAAAAAAAAAATTGGTCCCGTCAGTCTCATCAGAAGTTTGTCTACCTTATTCAGATTTTTCAAAGAACTAGCCTCCGGCTTTGTTGATTTCTGTCATGTCTTTATTGGATGTTCGTTCTTGTTTTCAAATTTTCTCTTTGCTTCTAATTTCTGACTTGAGATGGATGCCTCATTAGCTTTCAGCCCCTCTGAATGGGCTGCTTGTCAAGCGAAGACCATTACACAGTGCATGGGGTTCCACAAAGGTCGAGTGAGCAGGTGCTTTGTGAACCACGAAGCCCTTTGGGAAGGCTCAGTGCGATGTGTTGTGAGCCCTGCCCGGGCTTCTTCCCTGCTTCCATCCCTTTGCTTGCTTGAGCAGCCCTGGTTCACAGTGAGCATTTCTGAACTTCCACAGTCTTGATGGAATCCATATCGTTCCTGTGGGTTTGGGGAGATGCTGCAGGGGTGGTGGATTATCTTCATGTGAGTATACACCTGTTCACCTTTACCCCTGGACTTCTGGTCCTGTTGGGTAGAGAGTGAGTCTACACCTTCTAGTATCTCAGTTACTATTATGATTCCTCCTCCATTTCTTTATTCCTCTGTTCATTCAGGAAGCACAGCATCTGGCTCCATTATTTGCAGGCACTAAAAACACCTATAGAGTTTTCCCCAAATAAGGGAAGGAGTTGGAATTTGGATTGTGTCTAAATCCTTTCTGACTCCGACATTCCCTAATTTTAGTGCTGATACTTGCACCAATTCCATGACCTCCTCACTTACGCACCGTTTGAGTCTACATTTTAGAGTGAAAAGGTGGGATCTCCTGAATGTGGGTGGATTGCTTCCATCGTGCTCATTCTGCAGGCGGCTCCAGGGGAAGTGACAGAGGCAGTGAAATTGGCCATCGACGCCGGCTATCGGCACTTCGACTGCGCTTACTTATACCACAATGAGAGTGAGGTCGGAGCCGGGATCCAGTGCAAGATCAAGGAGGGTGTGGTGGAACGCAAGGACCTGTTTATCGTCAGTAAGGTAGGACCGTACACACAGGGCGAGCAGGGTGTCGACCCCTCGGGGCCTGGTTAGCAACCACACCCAGCGTGTGGAGGGGTTTCTGGTCTCCCAGGAGCTGGAACCAGACCTGACTAGACTTGGGCAGCTTGGTCCACATGCTGGGAGGGGTGCGGGTGAGGGCGTCCCGGACGGGGTGACGAGCAGAGGGGACAGCCTGTGCAGAGGCACGAGGCGTGGGACAGCACCGTGGGTACAGGGACCTCGAAGAAGCTTGGTGTTCCTGGATTGGAAAATGGTAGGCAGCGGAGTCCTGAGAAGCAAGGTCTGGAGCAGGGGACAGGCCCGACCACGGAGGCCTGCGTGCCTTTTAAGGGCCTTACTCTTTTCCCCACAGACAAAGGCACACAGTCGAAGGTTGTTACGGAGGGAGCTTATCTTCTACAGCAGTGAGACTCGCGTTCTATCTGGGCGATTACAGCCCCTGAACGGAGCGTGCGTTGGAGCAGGAGGCAGAAGATAGGAGACTCTGAGGGCAGCGTGGGTGGGGAGGGGGGGTGGCCTGGACGCAGACAGTGGAGACTGTGGAGGAGGGGGACAGCGTGCAGCCGCTTAGGGGCAGACCCAGACAGCAGAGTCCAAGAACTCCTTTGCTTTTGACTTTGAAGCAGAACGTTAACACCCTGTGTCCAGGAGCCACGGGCCCTCATTCCAAGCTGTGTCTCACGAGCCCCGAGAGCCTGGGTCAGTCTTTGGGTGGCGCTGGGTCACAGTGTCGTTGTGTGTAAAGTGAGACTCAGATTTGATCATCGCCTGAGTAGTGTCCAGGTCCAATGTGCATAATTGCACAATTCACTGCTGTTTCTGTAGAAGATTTGCTCTTCTATTTTACTCTCTGATGATTTCTGTAATTCGTCGGTGCTTCTAAAGCTGGAGCAAAGGGCAAGTAAGGGAGAGGCCTAGGTACGCACCTGGCCGAGGACCAGACGTGTCTCCTGCTACCCCAGGAAGGGAGGTGGGTGCCGGGACTGCTCAGGCCAGCCCGAGGTCAGGGGACTTGTGCTCCTGAGCGTATCACCACCAGGGGAGCTGTGCTCATTACTCTAGACATTTGCAAAAGTCATGGAAATGCAATTTAAAAAAAAGATCACTTTATGTATTCACCATCTAGAGAGTCCTGTTGTTAACAATGTATTTTTAGGTTTTTTTGCTTTTCTTCTCTTTTGTCAATACACTGTGTTTATGGTGTGTTTTTACATCTTTGCATCCTTTCTTGTACTTGTTTTGTGTTTTCTCTCGCTGTGTTGGAGCCTTCAGATTGGCTCCCGGAGGCTCCCGTCACAGTTAATACTAAACAGTCTGATGGGAAGTAACGAGAGGAAAAACCAATCACGGATTTTCTACTTAGCAGAGGGCGGGGAGGGAAATACCCAAGTCAGCACCGGTGAATGTTCACTCGCCCCCCTGACTTATCTGCACGAGTGTGAGGCCTTCGTCCCCGAGGACTTCAACATGGCACTGACTGAAGTGGGAAACAATGCAGAATTTCTTCTGAGTTTCCCTCCTCCCCTTTCTGCTCCCAGGCGCTAGGTTTGGTTTGGTTTGGCTTTGGTTTTCTTTTGGTCCCTGTGGATCCAGTTAACCAGACGGCCCCCCCACCAAAGAGTTCACAGTACCTCCAACTTCCCTTTAGTAGGACTCGGGCTACAGAGCCCAGTTTTGGAGATCCCTCCCCGAGGGAGTCCCGGAACCGTCGGAGGATAACGTCACGGCCCTGTTGTATTTATTGCCATCTGGTCTTGTATGTTGTCTGTCTTCCTGATACTGGATTTGTGGGGCCAAGGGGCAGACGTTGTGTTAACCCTGGCTTCCCTCCTCCCCTCGGCAGCTGTGGTGCACCAGCCATAAGAAGTCCTTGGTGAAAGCAGCGTGCACCAAGAGTGTGAAGGCCTTGAAGCTGGATTACTTGGACCTCTACCTCATACACTGGCCCATGGGTTTCAAGGTATGAAAGGTGTGAGCGGCACCTTCCTTCCAGGTCACACCTTCCGGGTGGTGCAGGGAGCGTGGGCCTCAGCTCCGGAGAAGCCTGGGCTCCAGGCACACACCCCCCCCCCACCCCCGCCCGCAGGCCCCCATCAGCTCCCTCCTCTGCCTCACAGCCCGGGGAGGAAGACATGCCCTTGGACCGCAGCGGCATGGTGATACCCAGTGACACCGACTTCCTGGACACGTGGGAGGTGAGCCATGGGCTGGCGGGCCTCTGGGCAGGGTGCCGGGCCACCGTGAGCTGTGTTCAGGCACACAGGTGTGCAGTCTGAACGGGGAACACACACCTGACCCAGAAACTCAGAGACCTGGGCGGCCGTCTGCTTCCTTAGTCCCAGCTTTTCCTCTCTCCGAAATGTCTGTTTGAGGGATAACTGAGGCGGACCTCCCTGGCAGGCTCAGTGTCGACTTGTTTTTTGGTTAGAAAACATCACGCGGTCGTTACAGAAATACAGAAGAGGATAAAAAGAAAATTTAATAATCCACTTTTCCATTACGCGGTGGTAACGACCACTGCCAGTCTGTAGCTGCCGAGGGCTCGTCTGTAAGGGCTCGGAGCAATGCCGGGCAGCGCGGCCAGGTCTGGGGGCTGCTGGGGGCTGGAGGGTGGTGTGCAGGCTTGCAGCCTGCTGCTGGAGTCCAGACAGGAGGGGAGGGAGAGGCCTCGAGCAAAGCAGCGAGCACGGGAGTCGGGGCGAGGGGGTCCCAACTGCCCCAGTATGGAAGGGGGCCGGGGGTCCCGCTGCGCCGGGCTGACGCGGCGCGTGTAATCTTTCACACTGATGTGGGGTAGAGGCGGGCAGGGGTGAGGCGTGGGAAGCAGGTGAGGTCACACTGAGTCAGGGAGAGTCGTGGGAGCTGGCCTCGGAGTACCAGCAGAACGAGGGGGTACACAGACGGGGAGGACTCTAGCAGGCCACCCTCTCCCCCTATTCCTCTTAAACAGGGGACTCAGCGGAACAGATTAGCCGAGCAGTCTGGGCTGTGAGGCGGGGGCCAGGGGCCCCAGCCCTTTCTGACCCACCGCACTGCCGCTAGGGAAGCCAAGGGTTCTCTGGGCTGTCGGTGCGCAGGGGCGCAGGGGCGGGGTGCCGGGTGGTGCCCAGGGGGACAGCTGTGCAGCCTGTAGCTGTTGTGCGTTGGCGGGTCGCCCGCCATGACCACTCTGGACTCCTGCTGACGCTCCCTCCCTGGGCTTAGGAAGCACATAATCTAGGTAGAAAGCGGGGTGAGCGAACAGCAGTGGACGTCCTTGCCCAACACCGTCTCAACAGGTATTCAGAGTAAGAGGAACAATAATAGCTACCATGTTGAGCGTTTACCACTTTCCAGCCCTGAGCTAAATGCTGTGCCTGCATTATTTGATGGAATCTTTAAACAGTCCTGTGACATGGACAAGCTTGTCCCCGCTAGCAGGTGAGGACACTGAGGTTTAGTGCGATCATATAAATGCACCCAAGGCCGCCCAGCTGGGGAGAGGTGGAAGTGGATTAGGCCCTGGGGGCAGAATGCCTGGGGGGCGTCCGGGGGCTATTGAGGGATCGTGGTTGCAGCTGGTTCGCAGTGTGCAGAGGAATGACTCTTTGTTCTCTTTAGGCCATGGAGGACCTGGTGGTTATGGGGCTGGTGAAAGCCATCGGGGTGTCAAACTTCAACCACGAGCAGCTTGAGAGACTTCTGAATAAACCCAACTTGAGATTCAAGCCAATCACTAACCAGGTGAGGCTTTAACAGGTGGAGTTGGCTTTTCAGCTGTCCCTTCCATGTGGCTAAACAGGAGCTAAATGGGAAACAGAAGAAGGGGTGGGGCACACAGTGGGCATTTTTCTCCTGTGGCTGCAAATGGGTGACTTAGGGAGCAGTTAGGCAGGTAGCTGGCGCCAAGGCAGGGGAGCTGCTCCAGAGGCTTGTCCGGCCAGGTGGTGCCCTCGGAAGGCAGGGCGGGGGCTGAGCTGGGTTTTCTCTGCACAGAAGCGGTGAAGGATCCCGGCGTGCCCTCCTCCCTCACTAACAGTGGTGCTCACAGCGGTGCGGGCTTCCTGGGAAAGCGCCAGGGCCCCCTCCCTTCTCTCCAGCCTCGCAGGGTGGGCAGCTGAAAGACCGCCACGTTCACAGACGCTCCCAGGACTTCTGTGCAGAGAGCTGGCTCGTGAGGAAAGGGCATTTTTGTAGCACTTTATTTTACCTAGATGTTTGCTCAAGTGTCATGTACATTTACAAAGTGCACACACATGACAGTAGAGCTTGATAGATTCTCCTAAATGGAGCCTAGCTGTGCTCTGCATCCAGGTCTAGAAACAGTGTGACCAGCACCGGGGAGCCCCACCACGCTCTTTTTTCTATGGACCAGCCCCCGACAAAGGGCAGCCTCTATGCCAATTACTAAAGCACAGAGTAGCTTTGAGCTTTATGTAGATAACATGACACATTATGTGCTCATTTGTATCTGGCTTCTTTCAACCTTGTATTTGTTAGATGCTTCCGTGTTCATGTATGATTGGCCCTCGTTCTGATCTCTGGTATTCCATTACGTCAGTAGAGTGCAGGGTAGTTATCTATTCTAGCGCTGATGGGGACTTGGGTAGTTTCCAGTTTGGGGACATTAAGAATAGAGCATCACGTTCCATTTTTTATTAAAAAACCTTCCTAGCTGAAGTACCACGTGGCTACGGGAAAGGCTGTTGCTTGGCGAGTCTCCGCAGGTGAGGTGCCCCAGTGGTCAGCACCCAGAGCAGGAAGCCGAACAGCCTCTGCCTTCTGGAAGCTCTTCTAGCCTCTGTCCCCATGTGAGGCGCAGCTTAGTTTCCCTGCTTTACAACCTTGCGCGCCTAGAATCTGTTCATGTGCATCATAGCTCGTGTCCCGTCAGGGTTTGAGGCAGCACTGTAAATCCGGGGGAGGGCTGGTGCCTCGTCTGTGGGGTGCAGAGGGGCTGGAGGGCATGTTTCCTAGTTAGGGTTCTGAGCCCCCAGGAACGTGGGCTCAGAAGGGTTTTCAGAGAGCCCAGTGGCTTTGTGTTTCCACTGCTGCCGATGACCGTGCCCAGCACGCCCCTGAGCTTCTGTCCTGGAGCCCGCAAGGCACTGTTGTAGCTCTTCCTTCACCCTAAACCAGCATCTGTTTTCAGCCCACTGAGAACCCTAATCGTACGTGAGAATTTAGAGAATGTGGAGACAGGAATCCTGCGCTCCAGTTTCTTTAATGTCCACTGGCGTCCCCTGGAGCGTGTTTGCCCCGTGACTCCCCAGCCTCGTTCGCCCTCCTCACAAGTGTTGATGGGGCACGTTCTGTTTGGCTAGCTTATTCTGGATGCTGGGGAGATGTCTGGGGGCACAACAGTCAGACCAAACCCGTGCCTTCATGGAGGGAGACAGACAATGGCAAATAAGTACAACATCGAGGATGTCAGTGACTTGGGCTAGAGCGGAAAGTAAAGGACCAGAGCGAGGGCCTCACCGAGCAGGCACTGTCTGAGCGTCCAGGGAACGCAGGTGTCCCTCCTGCCCATTCTCAGTGGCCTGTCACTTCACAGGCGCGGGTCATGTAGCTCCTCAGTGACAGAGCCGAGACATTAATGTGTGCCCTGTTTCCTGATGTACGGTTGGTCTGAATTTTCTTGGTAAGCTGGGATTCTCTTTGTAGATTGAGTGCCACCCGTATCTTACCCAGAAGGATCTGATCCGTTTTTGCCAGTCCAGAGATGTGTCCGTGACCGCGTACCGGCCCCTCGGTGGTTCCAGGTAGGGCTGCGTCGGTGGTGCTGAGTCAAGGCTCTAGCAGGAAAGATGCACCCTCCGGCTGAATTTGGGTAGTTGGCAGAGGGTCTCAGGAAGGAGGGTGTGGGCAGGGCAGGCAGGGACCACAGGCACCCTGCAGGGGGCGCTCACAGCACCCCTGGGCCCTGTAGCTGAGGGAGGGAGCTGGTGCTGGGAGCCGGAGGAGAGTCACTTTGAGGGACAGAAGTGGCTGGGAGCAGCCTGTTCCAGAGCTCTGGACTAGCACGTAGGGTCCCCTGCTAGGCCTCTCCGTTGGGCGGGTTCGCAGACATCCCCATCTCCCCAGAACAGAGACTCCACCTGTCCTCTTTCCCCGGAACCTGAACTGTGTGCTCCCCCCATCAGCTAAGCTAACGAGCCCCGACTCGCGCAGCCCCCAGCCCAGACACCTGGATGTCCAGCCTGTCCAATCCATCAGCAACATCCGCTGATTCTTCCGCCAGAGGACCTGGGATCTGTCTCTTGATCTCTGTTCTCGCCATCCCTGCCTTAGTTAACTGGGAGTTCTCACGGGTAATTCCGCTGCCTCTTCACTCCGGCCAGGTTTGCCCCGTTCATGTTCACGGTACCTGAAGGGAGCATCTCAATATGATCAGGTCACTTTCCTGCTTAAAAACTCCTCAGGTCTTGGCATGGCCTAGGAGTCCCGACTGGTCTGCCCTCTGCCTACTTCTTGCGTCATTTCTTCCTGCAGGAAGTGTGCACACCAACTACTTTAAACTACGCAGGGCTCCCAGGGTAGAGCACGTTCTTCCCAGTCTCCGTGCCTCTGCACACTGTTCTCTTTACCTAGAATCTTGCTGTTATTCTTTTTTTTTTTTTAAACCTGGCTAACTCTGATTTCTAGTATATGGTTTAATTCAGCGTCACCTCCTCCAGGAAGCCCTCCAGACTCCCCATAGTCAGGTTTTGTCCATAGCCCTCATCACACTGTCTTGTCATTAATTCCTTTTCCCACTTGTCAGAGCTGCTTGAGTGCAGGGACAGCGTGTGATGTGTGACTCCGCCAGCTCCTGGCTCAGTGCCTAGGACAGAGCAGGGCCCCACGAGGGCTGGAAGCATTTGACTCTGATTCTCTGTGTGTCTCCCGTGGGAAGCAGGCAAGGGGTTTGAACTTGGTAGCAGCAAGCGAGTTGCTGGAAGCCGGGTGGTGGTGTGCAGCTGAGCATGGGGTCCCGGGGCCATAGTGGGCGGTGGGAGCCGCCCAGGGGCGGGGAACCAGCTGAGTGCTGGGCCCATGCGGCAAAGGAAATCAGCCATTTAGTTCCTTCAGGAGATGCTGAGCACTGTTTGTAGAGCAGTGCTCAGAACCTACAAGCGGCTTAAAGAATGTTCCTGCCGAAATGTCTCTCTGGGGAGGTTCGGGCCTGTGGGACCCACACTGAGGGAGAGGGCCATTCTCTGCACTGGAGCCCGACACGTCCCCAGTCTTGGGCTTGTGCTGGTATTTGAGTTGAACTTTTCTGAACTTGCCATCATCATCAACAATTACTTGGCCAGGGGCACACTCCAGGCCTTGTGGCAAGTGTCAGAAGGGCACATACCAGAGCATGGGGAGGCCCTCCGACGTTGCCACCTCGTTCTCGAGAACACACCGAATGACCGTGAAAGCAGGGCATCCAGCTGTTTCCACGGGGGTGTTAGCACTGGTTGTGGCTGGACAGTGGGATTTGGGTGATGAGCTCTCCTGTACCATTTAACTTCCCTACAGGGAGCAAGTACTGTGCTCAAACACAAATCTAGGTTTTATGTTGTGGAGGAAGTATTGTGTGTTTTAAAGCAAGAAGCACACGTTTGACCCCCTAACTCCCTGCCCGGTCCTGCTCTCTCTAGTGAGGGGGTGGACCTGCTGGATGACCCCGTGATTCAGAGGGTGGCCCGGAACTACAACAAGTCTCCAGCCCAGGTAGGAAGGGGCTGCCTGGAGGGGAGGAGGGGGAAGCCCTCTTCCTCCGGGAGCCAGGGACTGGACGGAGGAAGGGTTCACTGACGGTGGCCCAGATGACCCCTGTCTGGAGCTCCCTCGGTTCACCAGCCCGGGGCCATGCTCCCAGCCAATCAGGCTGCGAGCCCCCGTGGGCGGCACTCCGGATGGGAGCTCTGAGGCCGTGTCCCTCGGCCCACCAGCCCAATGGGGCAGGGATGGGCTTTACCACAATTCCGTGCTCTCCTGTCCGACGTCTGGGGGTTGGGCGCCTCATTAATCTCGGAATTCTCCATGGGCCAGTGGCAGTCATTACACACACATTGGAGGAACCATCCAGAAAACGCCAGTTTGGTTCTGGAAGGATTTTGGAACAGAAGAGCTTGTAATAAAAGCTCCAGCTGCCCCTGACTTTTGGACTTCATTGCACAGTATAATATAAACTATGCGGGAAACAGCTAACTCCATGGGATTTCCCCTTGTCTAATATTAGACTTTTTTTCCTGTAGATTTTGCTCCGATTTCAGATCCAGAGGAATGTGATAGTGATCCCCAAATCAGTCACCCCAAAGCGGATTCTTGAGAATATCCAGGAAAGTGCTTTTCTTCTTTTACTCGGAGGGTTTGGGATCATATGTTAGTTAGCTGGGGGTCTGACCACTGCAGCAAACAGGCCCCCTGTGGCTTTGACACGACAGAGGGGTGGGATGAAGCCGCGGCCACAGCACAAGGAACCCGAGAGGGTGACCGCACCGGCCTAGGAGCTGGCAAACCAGCTGAAACGGGGAACGGAGAGGTGATGAACCAGGGAGTCAGCCAGAGGCGCCCAGGGCTGCCTGCCCAGCCGGGAGCCTGCTCCCCAACCCTCAGGACCGCTGGCGCCGGGGCTACCCTGAGCCCTCCAGAACTGAACCCAGCCTCCCCCCGGGGCCCCAGCCCGCCCTCCAGTCAGAACTGCGTGGACACCGAGTCCCTGGTTTCTGCTGGACTGGGGTGGAGGATCCCCTCTGGGGAGAGGCCGGGCCCCCAGCCCCTGCACCTTCTCTCCCAGCTCCTCAGCGGTGACTAGGGTTGGCTCTCCTGGGAGAAAAGCTCTTATTCTAGGAGTGAGTCCTAGTCCTCCAGTGTGTTAAGAGTAAAAGGGCGGATGGGGTGGCAGGGGGCAGCTTAGAATTCTGCTTTAGAAGGAACGGACATGAAAATCACACCGTGTTACGGATACTGTGAGACTTAACGGTCCCGGGGCCCATGTGTCCTCCGGGCTGGCAGGGTGTGGGGCACAAATGGTTTGGGGCTTTGGTTTTTCATTTTTTGGCTTTTTTTTTTTTTAAAGATTTTATTTATTTGAGAGAGAGAGAATGAGAGAGAGCACAAGAGGGAAGAGGGTCAGAGGGAGAAGCAGACTCCCTGCTGAGCAGGGAGCCCGATGTGGGACTCGATCCCGGGACTCCAGGATCATGACCTGAGCGGAAGGCAGTCGCTTAACCAACTGAGCCACCCAGGCGCCCCATTTTTTGGCTTTTTTGAGCAGTGGGGAAAAAATGCTTTGCTATACCTCTTAACTCTTCTGGGATGTCCTTACTCCCGAGGGGTGCATGCGGTTCCCACCCAGCCCGGGGCAGCCGGCGTCCGGTGGTGGCAGCTTACAGTCCACATGCGGGTGCGGAGGCCGATGCTCTGGGGGAGTTGCAGGTGCCACACGTGGTGTTTCATCTGCAGCGCTGTGTCCCCAACGGGCCTGGCTCAGTGCCTTGCAGGTGACGCGTGCTCAGCGAAATTTTCACCGATCTGAATTGGCTGTGAACATCTGGTTTGGCTGCAGGTGTTTGACTTCAAATTATCAGAACAGGATATGAACGACATCCTCGGCCTGGACAGGAACTTCCGAATGTGCAGGTTACCCATGTAAATATGTCTCCTTTATTTCCTCTCACGACAGGGATTGGTTCTTGAAGAGATGCTGATTATATACGTTTGAGGTTAAATTAAGCCTTCTCATCAGTCTTTCCTGTTTGAGGCTGGGCCACTGAGTGAATCCGAAGACTAATTTAATTTAATGTATCGGGGAGCTTGAAAGTACACAACTGTAGCTTTTAGTATGTTTCTTTTAAAAGAATGAACATCTCTATTTTTTATTTGTTTTCCTGTTTTTCAGAGCTGAACACCACAAGGACTATCCTTTCAACATAGACTACTGAGCATGGCTCCCCACTTCGTCCTGCCCGGACAGGTGCCCCAGGTCTGACCCCCCCCCCTGCACAGGGTGGCCAGGGAGGGGAGGGATGGGGTTTGATTTGGGTGGGTTCCCACCTGGAACAGAAGCTGCGCTCCCTGAGAAATTCACACGGTTCAGCCGGTCTCAGTGACGGAGACAAACACCGTGGGAGCGCTGATCACTCTCCGTGGAGAACCCCCAGTCCTAAGGAGCCTCTGAGCACAGCGTGATGGGATTTTTACAAGATAAGCTCTTTGGCCTGTACTCTCAAAATAAAGATTGTATTATGGAAATACTTAAACACAAGAGTTGAGTTCCTCGCATCAGTCTCTACATCTGTCACTCAAGTCCCCTCACCAACCCTGGGCCCGCCTTGTGTCATCTCTGCTTCTCTGCCCCTGCCAATCCCCCCAAAATCCTTACCTTCACACATCCAGAGAACACCCGGCTGAACGTGGGAGAGGTCTCAGTTCAACAGAGGCTTTTCTTCTTATTTAAATATACCTGGGGAAACCCAGCTCAGAGAGGACATGTGGCCTCTCCCCTCACGCGCTCAGGGTCCAGCCTGTCCACGTGCCGCGTCAGGACGAGCATGGGGGCGCGTGTCCACATGGGCTCGTTCAGGGCAGCGTGTGACTCGTCTCACTAGGTGGCACTTCGGCACCAAGCTTCGGTTATTATGTTAGATTAAAAAGGCTCATTTTCATGCATTAATTGCCAGGTGTTTCCCTGTTTCTGTTAAGTGTATGAAAAGTTCTACACAATTGGCTAATAATGCTTTCTATTAATATTTACAGAATTTTTCTATTTAACAAAGTAATTCTACCGGATTCAGAATGCAAAGAGAACGGAAAAAAGCTCAATTATAGAAAGCAAAAACGGCCTAAAATAGCAGTATCTAAGAAGAATCATCTTTCTAGTGGCTCCTTCTAATCTTTGCCCATGTCCACGACATTATGTAGATAAACAAATTATATAAAGTATGTAACACGGGGGCGCCTGGGCGGCTCAGTCGGTGGAGCGTGGGACTCTTGGTTTCGGCTCAGGTTGTGATCTCAGGGTTGTGAGGTTGAGCCCCAAGTGGGGCTCTGTGCTCAGGGAGGAGTCTGCTTGTCCCTCTCCCTCTGCCCCTCCCCCCGCACACTCTTTCTCTCTCTCTCAAATAAATAAATCTTAAAAAAATATATGTAACACATATACACATCTAATAAATGGACATAAACACTTCACAAAACCTGCCACACAGCACATGTCATTTGTAACTTGCTTTTTAAAAATGCATGAATGTATATACTGGACGTACAGTTCACGCAACTGTTCACTTAATATTTTGACAATTTTAACTAATCATCCGAGCTTCCTGCCTAGTGTAAATGATTTCCACATCTTACACTGAATCTTTATTACGGTAATTCCAGCCTTGCAAAGGCACTGTTCGAAGGGGGGGGGTGGTGTGCTGCTTCTCATCTCTACACCTTAAACTTAAAACAATTGTCCCTTGAGGGACCACACAGTACTGTAAGTTCCATCACTTTATATTCTACAGGAAAAAAAGGATTACACATTTGTAAGTGGTTTTTTGACTAGGACCACTTGGAATAGCAACACCATGGCAAATACCAGGAAGATGAGAAACACTCGGCCCCAGAGAGGTGGGGTGGAGGACGCGTGCACACGGTGAGCCCTGCGCCTCTGCATCAGCTGGGCCAAGCGCGGGCGGCCCACAGGTTCTGTCGCACTGTGCACATCTGAGAACCCTCTGCAAAGCACGAGGGCAAGGACTGTCGATGAGTAGGCAGGGACCCCAGCTGCGACCCCAGGCCTCGCCTGCGTGGGAGGATTTCGAAGCGGGTCCGCGGGGGGCGCCGGCGCATTCGCGGCTCTGGCGGCAGGGGGCGCCGCTCCCCCGCCTGTGGGTTGGAGGCGCTACTTGGGGGTGCCGTCCGGGGGTGGGAGTCGTGAAACCCAGGCTTGAGGACGGAAACGGACAGCAAGAGCGCACGGGCCAGCTCAGGGTAGGCGGCGGGGGAACATCGGGGGCGCTGGCTGGGAAGGCGAAGCAGGGGAGCCGCCAGGGGCCAGACAGCTGGGCCCTGTTTGCTTACCCAGCTTCTGAGACTGGACCTCTCCCCAGGCAGCCCAGGGGTTCCGGCGAGGCGCCGCGCAGGTGTGACTCCGGCCCCGGCTCCCCGGAGGTGCGACGCCGGCTCCCCGCAGGTGTGAC